AATCACAAAATTCCGGATTATGGGTCTGGATATGGTCTAGAGTGTTTTTGATTTGCTCATGGAGTTGGCCTGATTCCAAAATGGTATGTATTGGGCTATGTCCTCTAGGAGTAAAGTTGAAAAGGTATGACACCCTAACATTTGCATTTATTATATAGATGACTAACAATACATTTTTCAAACTAAATTACCATGAAAAAAAATTGCAACTGTACATTTTCAAATTATCTATCTAAAAAACACATTTACCCTGAAAATATAAAATTATGTACAAAATATGTCATTGAAGTAATAAAATTGCATTCAAAATATATCTTGTTGAAGGTATAAAATTGCATTGAAAATTTTAGCATTAGGTTGATATGCCACTAAACAAAATCAACCAAACAAAATGTGATTGTCCCATTTTTTGGGATGGTAGTCATTAATGGGTTTAAACTTCCTCATTTCTCGCATATTCTGTTCATGGTATTCTTGATAATATTACAATTGTTTTCACAATATACTTAGGAGGTGATGGATAATTACTCGTCAGTTAAAATCTTTTCTGCTTTCAGTACACAAGAGACTTCAACCTTCATGCCTCTCCCGAGCACTCTCACTGTCAACCCTCACCCCTCTCCCGAGCACTCTCACTGTCACCCCTCTCCCGAGCACTCTCACTGTCACCCATCTCCTCTGCTCTCCCAATAACCCTTTACTTTGAGTGGCTCTTGGGTCTTATAGTGGGTGATCATTAGTATAAAAAAAGAAAGCTGTTGTTAAAAATAGCTGGAACATACAGCATTCATTGACTGAAAAGTTGATGTTGCTGCTGAAATTTATCAAATCTTTTTATTAAAATTGTTTTTCAGGAAATTAAACTTTTAAAATCCTGTTATTGTTCTATGTTGTATTGACAAGAGTTTCTTTCCAGGGCTTCTTTGCCAACCTTTTGTTTTCAATAGTATGAGATGCTAACAGTTTCATTATGTCATTATTTTCCCTTCTAATTACATATGCTATCCATTTTAGTTGTTGCTGCTGTTGGAAGTCCTCAAGTGATGTGGTTTTTGTTATTTGGAGAAGAGATGAATTCCTACTTTTTCCATGGGTATGAAAGGAAATGTAACAAACTTTGGCAGAATTCAAATTTTATATGGCTTATCAACCTTTTGCTGGTTATTTAAAAATGATTAATGATACAAGGTAGATTCATACCTAATCAGACTTTAATAAGCAAATAAGAAATTATGTGGACATAAAGTCAGGGATCAACTTTATTACAATCAATATATAAAATGATCCCTCACTTTGTGACCGCTGAAGTTTCTATATATTTATATTCCAGAGAATTTAAATAAATGTAAAAGACATGCCTGTGTGGCTAATCAGTATTTTGTTGATTGATTGATTCGTTTTCTATGGCTTATCAATCTTTTATAGCTTATTTAAAGCCAGAAAATATTTTTAGATTGTAAGAATTTTTGAGGTCGAGTTAATAATGATTTAGTGATAAGTCTTATTAATTAAATCCATAGGGGGCATTCGTACCTGATAAGAATTTCATAAACAAACAAGAAATTATGATGTGGATATAAAATGGGGGATCAATTCTATATTAAAATCACTATATAAACTGATCCCTCACTTTGTGGTCACAGTAGTTTCTATACATTCATATTCCAGAGAATGTAAATAAATCTAAAAGACATGCCTGCATTGCAGCTAATCAGTATTTCATTAATTGATTCGTTTTCAAGGTTTATCAGCCCTTTGCAGGTTATTTGAAGCCAGAAAATATAATGTGGATATAAAGTGGGGGATCAAGTCTATATTATAATCATTATATAGACTAATCTCTCACTTTGTGGCCATGGTAGTTTCTGTACATTTATAATCCAGAGAATGTAAATAAATCTAATAGACATTCCTGTGTAGCTAATCAGTATTTCATTGATTGATTCATTCATTTTCTACAGCTTATCAACTTTTACTGATTATTTAACACCAGGAGTTGGTTCTACAAGACTTGTTCCTGGATAAAAGCTACTTGTCTGGAACTTACATCTCATGAAAGGAATATGAAGGGAATGAGGATGATTCGCTACAATGGGTGTTGCATGCCGTGAAGGTTAGGAATGGTGGAACTAAGGCATGTAGCCCATCTGAACACTTTCCACAGAATTTAGTGTCAGAAATAAAGCGTTAAACTTTTTATGGCACATGGGTTTAGAAAATTTAACACTCACAGAAAATATTGAAGGCAGAGGAATATAGTGCATAACCTACTTATCAAGCCTGGCAGAACAGATTAGGAAAGATAGTGGAGTGACAACTTTTATTAAGTGCTATAAAGGTTATGAAGCATATAAAATGGTACATAGAATTTTGCTTTTATTAAATTTTTCAAGTGTATTGAGGCATTTATTAAGGAACAAGAAGTATTCAAATGAAGTCTCTAACTGTTCAAATATTTGAAAGACCTGTGAGGTGAATAATTAAGGGATTGATGGAGAGGGTGTTCGTAACCGAATTATTTACATCACCTAAGAATATAAAATCAACACGATACTGTTCAGACTATATCTTTTTCTTTTGTTATGTTCCTTCAGGATGTTGGCAATCGTGGCTTTTCTTGATTATACAGGTATCTCTAAAGTCTGGACACATAGGCAAAAATGCATATTTTCAAGAAATGAAACGTTTTATTGAATTCGAATATTAACAAATAACGTCTTCAATATGATTTCCATCATTTGTGATGCAAAGGTTGATATGCTGGCACGATTCACATAAACTTTATGCAATGACTTCACATTGCTATCAATTTTAATCCATTTACTCTTTATGCAATCAATCAAGTGTGTTGCATCTGTGATCTTCATTGAGTACACCTTCTCCTTTAGTATATATTTATTAAACAGTATATATATTTTTATTTAATCCATCTACTGGCCTGAATATTTGTAACTCTTGCTAGAAAGGACTCGAACTTGCCTAACTTAGGGCAGTGCTTCTCAAAGAGGTGGTCCGCGGATTGGCGAAGCATCAGCTACCAGTGTCCAGGCCATGCTAAGCAATCATTTGTAAAGATTAAGGGTATATAATTTTCATTTTTGTGTTAATAAACTGCTTATTTTTTTTAACTTTTTATATCTGTCTATATTTCTGAGATGAAGTATTATGTACACTATTTACATTATTTGGACTATTGTCCTCATCTTTGTTGCCATATTTATTACAACATTTCGGCCCTTCAGTATCTGTCTATATTTCTGAGATGAGGTATTATGTACACTATTTACATTATTCAGACTATTATCCTCATCTTTGTCGACATGTTTATCACAACGTTTCAGCTGTTGTACGCTCCGGCCTTCATCAGGTGGTTGGAATGTCAAACGGAACCCTTTATTTCGCTCACTGGGGTAGACTGTTCTAGTTCCACGTGCCATGTCTAATGGATGTCAGTTATCTCCTGTTAATTCCCCTCTCAAAGTTCTCCACTGCCATAACCAGGTATTGAACTCACACTTTGGGTCCTGTCAGTGGATCTAACAAATGCCTTTATCCACTGAGACATGGCATGTGGAACTAGAACAGTTTACCCCAGTGAGTGGAATAAAGGGTTCAGTTTGGCACATGAGTGATCATGTCTCTCCACAACTTTCTATCTAATATACCACTAAGTAATGTTTGTATTATCCTTGTTCATGCTCTGCCATCCATTTATATAAGTCTACGGTATGTTACTTGTTTCACTCTTCCTCTCTTACCTTTAGTATGCCCTGTGAGTGTCAAATTCTCCAAGCCCTCTTTCCCAATTATATGTTCCAGAAATTTCAAATATATAAATATAAAGTGAACACTAAGGTCAACACAGAACAATGACAATCTGTTTTATGCTTGGATGCAATCTTCAGTATCAAACAGACTGTCACTACTCAGTGTTTATATTTGCATACACACTATCCCAGATATTGAGTACTTTTATCTATAAATATAGCATATGTTTAAACCAAAATTTTATCATATGTATTGTTCTTCCCGGAATAGTCTATTTAAAATTATCAGAACAAAAATTCTTGAAATTTCAATGTAATTTCATTCTCTATTGTGGATTTTTTCTTATTTTATTTCAGCTTCGACATGTGCTGTCGAGATATGAAGGAAATTAATCAAAAACGGTAAGTTTTTATTTTATTTTATTTAAATAGAATAAAAAAATCACAATATTTTAGTAATTCATTCCAAAAAAAATACCAAATGTATCCTTAAATATACAAGACAATCCCGTGAGGCATATAAAGAAAAGATTTCAGAGTTTCTGCAATATTTTTGATTTTACAATGGTACCAGTCAAGTATTAATCTTATATATAAAAAGAACTGTACAAGGTCTGTCTGTTTCATTTTTTTTATTGTATTTTTTAATTAGATGTTAAGTATTGTGCTCAGAATTGTGAATAAACTCTCTGAAGGTCATGTATTATTGTTTTGTTAAAGTACTTTCGATCAACTCTGTCTCTATTACCATGAACCAATGGGGTGTCTGTGTGTTAGGCAAAATTCTTTTGTCTACATCCTGGTATTTTTTGTAACATCAGTAGTCCGGAATGAATGCAAGCATTACTGATAGAATAGGGCTATTATATGTATAATAGAAATGCATTGCTAATGATTTTACTATAGGAATGCATTGCAAATAAGGAAGAAAGGGATTGTCATTGGTCAGGAATGAATACAAGAATTACTGATAGAATAGAGCTATAATATGTATAATGGAAATGCATTTCCAATGATTTTACTATAGGAATGCATGTCATTTTCAATTAGGAATTTCCACTTTGGCTTTTTAACCTTTTCAAAGTCTTATCTCTCTTGATGTGATCATCTTCCACTCTCTCTCCTCCTTCTTCTTCTTCTTGACTTAGTTAACCTTGATATAAATCTGACCCCACCTCCACATGTGTAAAATAGGTACTTGGTTTGATACTAGGATATCATGAGAGGCACAAAATGCAAATTTCTTTACACTCCCTGCCATGCAATCCTCTCTTCCTTCACTCCCACCCATCCATGCCATCTTTCTCTTTTTCTTCATCTCCACTCCTTACCATGTCATCCTACTCTCTCTCACCCCACACCTTACTGTGTCATCCTACTCTACCCACATCTGTGTCATCTTACTCTCTCTATCTCTCTCTCCACTCCATACCATATCATCCTACTCTCTCTTTCCTCCACCAACCATATCATACTTGTATGACTCTCTCTTCTTCCCTCAGGTGTGTCATACTTCTAGCTATCTCTCCTATTCCCCAGCAATGTTGCACCTGTATCTCTGTCACCTGCTCTCAGCCATGTTATACACACACACACGAGTTCACCCCCCCCCATATTCACAGGGATTAGGGACCAGTACTGGCCACGAATAGTTAGAATCCACAAATACTTGTAACCCCCCACTCCCAAAGTGCTTATAAGTACCTACTTTGATTGTTAAAACCCTATACGCATTAAACTTTCATCATAAACACTTTAGAAACATTTCAGACCCTTTTTAAAACATTTTTGGGGTTTCCACGAATAACAAGTACATATGTTCTAAAGAAAGTTGCTAATGCTGAAAAGCAAATAGGCAGGTACTCACTGTGTGTGTCTCTCTCTCTCTCTCTCTCTCTCTCTCTCTATATATATATATATATATATATATATATATATATATAGAGAGAGAGAGTGAGAGGGGGGAGAGGGAAAACTTACCTTAGTCAATACATTCTGTCCTCTGAGGAACTTTATCAAATTCCTCACAGGACAAAATGCTTCAACTAACATAAGTTTTTATATTGTCCTTTTACAGGTATACTCTATCTGAAATAGGCGAGGATTCACTGTGTATGTGTATAATATATATATATATATATATATATATATATATATATATATATATAGTCCCTCACAGGACAGAATATGTCTTCCTTTTATATATATATATATATATATATATATATATCTATAGAAAGTTGTGAATGCTGAAAAGCGAATAGGTGGAGACTCATTGTGTGTGTGTGTAAATATATATATATATATATATATATATATATAATGTAGAGATGGGGCAGGGCAACAAAGAAAAACTTATCTTCGTCAACGCATTCTGTCCTCTGAAGGACTTTATCACGTTTTCATATTGTCCTTTTACAGGTATACTCTATCTGAAATTTTTAAACACACAGATATATCTCTTGCTCCCAGCCATGTCATACTTATATCACTCTGTCTCTCACTTTCCCGCAATTCTCATCATTTTTTTCTCTCTCTCTCTCTCTCTCTCTCTCTCTGCACCACATCCTCTTTGCTGCCATTTAATTCTATTTCTTTCTCATTTGTCATTATTTTAGCACTCCTTTTTTTTTTTTTTTTTTTTTAAACAAAACCACATTTTCTCTCTTTTGGGTTTACAGGAAAGAAAACATTTCTTTCCAAGGATCCATGTAAAAGCAAGAATTGATTATCTTGTCATTTTCCAGGCGAGGAATTTTTTTTTTTTTCCCCACTTTCTTTTCGGATTTGTTTATTTTCATGAACTTCAAACATCAGTCAAAGTTTTCTGTCTTCAAATAAACAGAATTCATTCTTTCAATGTCTTTTATCTCTCTCTGCATGATCATTTCATTCAATATTTAATTCTGGTTTGTTTCTTATATCAGTACACTTTCCTTCTCCCTCTAATTCCACTCACCTCTCTTATGTCTTCTATCACCCTCTACCAATTGCCTTTTCTCTCTCACGTCCTCTTTTCAATCGCCTTTTCTCTCTCTTTCGCCCTCTTTTCAATCGCCTTTTCTCTCTCTTTCGCCCTCTTTTCAATCGCCTTTTCTCTCTCTTTCGCCCCTCTTTTCAATCGCCTTTTCTCTCTTTTCGCCCTCTTTTCAATCGCCTTTTCTCTCTCTTTCGCCCTCTTTTCAATCGCCTTTTCTCTCTCTTTCGCCCTCTTTTCAATCGCCTTTTCTCTCTCTTTCGCCCTCTTTTCAATCGCCTTTTCTCTCTCTTTCGCCCTCTTTTCAATCGCCTTTTCTCTCTCTTTCGCCCTCTTTTCAATCGCCTTTTCTCTCTCTTTCGCCCTCTTTTCAATCGCCTTTTCTCTCTCTTTCGCCCTCTTTTCAATCGCCGTCTCTCTTCTAAATCGCCCTCTCTCTTCTCAGTCGCCCTCTCTCTTCTCAGTCGCCCTCTTCTCAGTCGCCCTCTCTCTCTCTCTCTCTCTATCGCCCTATCTCTCTCCGCCCCTCTCTCTCTCCCCCTTAATCGCCCTCTTCCCCCTTCTCTCTCCCCTCTTCTCATTTCTCTCCCCCCCCTTCTCATTTCTCTCTCTTCTTTTACTTTCTCTTTCCTTCATATGTTCAACAGTTTTTCATGGTCTAGTATTTTTCTTATTACCCAAGGGCATACTTTGTACTCCACAAGTTAGTGAATGTATTAAGAAAAAAAAAAAAAAAAAAAAAAAAAAAGATAGAAAGGAGAAGTAAATTGTCTTTGAAATGTGCACTAATTTTTCCTTAATATACTTTCCTATTACCCAAGGCAAAGCATCCCTACCTGTTGTTTGATTTTTCTCCTGACCCACAAAGTGATTACAATTCAAAACCTTCCCCATTATTGGTGGGTGATGGTGTGGAGACCCTTAACACATTGTTAAACATGATGTGCCTTAAAATCCTATTCATTATCTTGGTCCCCTCATAGCTAACCCCAACTTTTTATTTCCCCTTCCCATTACTTTCTTAATCTGCTTATGGTTTTGCTTTTAATCTATCAAGACCCAGTGGTCCAGGTAGTTCTTTTTAGAAATTGGACAACAGGTGCAATGAATAAATAATGTCGTTCATGCTATGAATTTAATGTAGAGAAATCTTATTGTATTATTCATGCGCTTATTTATATATCCTTGGTAGGCAAACTGCACTCATCCTGGGTATGACGATAAACTACATCCGTGTCTTGGGTATGACGATAAACTACATCCAACAGCAAGGCTTCTGATCAGGAGGTTTTGAGGAGCATGGAACTACCTCTTAATAGCTGGTGTTCCCAGGTCCACCCTAACCTTGGGTGGTAGCACCTGTAAGGTCCCAGCTATGGGCAAATAGTTAACCCCCAAACTGGGGTCAAAACATGCAAAAATAGGTTGTATTATCAGCAATACATTTTTGTAAAACAGATTTTACCAGCAATTAATTTTTTAATAAAATGTTACCAGCAATACAACTTGGGGAAAAAATATTACCAGCAATAAAAATCTTGTAGGCCTTAAATAACCCATTGAGATGTTGATATGCCACAAAACAAACAAACCAAGCAAACTGCATGATGAGGAAATAGAATTAATTAAAAATGGTCATTAAGTAGTTCTTAGTGTACTACTAGATTGGCAAATAGGTTTCATCAATTTACGTTGCAGTTGTTAGATGTAACTATAATTTCTATTCTAATAATTTCATCTCTTGCACTTCTTGCCTGTGGAACTCTCTTTCAACTTCTTGCTTTCCTGTCAACTATAATCTTCGAAAATTTAAATACTAATCCCTAATCTTTTTCAGTTTAGGGTCCTTTAGCTTTGATGTTTTTCTTGGTTTTCAGTAACCCCTTCAGTCTTACCGTTTTTATCGTCTTGCTTTGAGTGAAAAGGTCACAGAATCCAACTTATAAAACAGCATAGTTTTAAGATCTAACATATAAGGAATTTTGCCATTTATTGTAATTTAGATATAAAGCATATTCATTACTCTTACTATCCTGGGCATGACGGTAAACTACATTCGGAAGCAAGGCCTCTGATCGGGAGATTTTGGGGAACATGGAACTCACTCTTACTTTCTGTTGTCCCCAGGTTCACCCTTACCTGAGCTGGTAGCACTTATTAGGGGTCCCAACTATGGGCAAATAGTGAAACCCCAAACTGGGGTCAAAACACTGAAAATATATATAAAAAAATTTTTTTTGCATTTCTAATAGTAAAAAAAAAAAAAAAATTTACCAAAACTTCGAGAAAATTAAGTTTTGGCAGTAAATGACCCATCAGGTGTTTATGTGCTGTTAAACAAATAAATCACTTTTTTTATTTTAGTTTATTGGCATAGTGTTGCTTTTTATCCTAATAATCTCTGTTTGAAAGACATGGTAGCAATTGTTTTTGTATTATTTTTTTATTTACGTATATATACATAAGTAATCTGATGGCAAACTTTCTACAGGATGACAACTTGTAATTCCTGAATTTGACCATTTTTCCCCCCTGTCATTTTATTACTCCCTCTTTTGTCCTTACATTCTAACTCACTCTCTCTCTTTTTGCCCCTACACTCTCATTCTCGTATTGGCTGTACAAATGCCCTTTCTTTCTCCGTATTTTTCTACTTCTCTGTCATTCTATAACCACCTCTGATACACTCACATTGCCTCTCTCTCTAGTCCCTTTTTTCTCTCTCTCTCTAGTCCTCTCTCTCTAGTCCCCTTTCTCTCTCTCTCTCTAGTCCCCTTTCTCTCTCTCTCTCTAGTCCCCTTTCTATCTCTCTCTCTAGTCCCCTTTCTCTCTCTCTCTCTAGTCCCCTTTCTCTCTCTCTCTCTCTAGTCCCCTCTCTCTCTCTCTTGTCCCCTTTCTCTCTCGCCCCTTTCTCCCTCTCTCGCCCCTCTCACCTCCCCCTTCTCTCTCTCTCGTCCCCGCTCTCACTCTCTCTCTTCTCTTCCCCTTCTCGTCCACCACTATATATCTCTCTCTTTCCCATCCACGACTTTCTCTCTCTCTCTCTCCTCTACTCTCACTCTCTCCCAACTTCCCATTATCTTCAGGATAAATTCTCTCTCCTATTCCGCTCCCTCTCTTTCAAAACATGACTCATTCTTTTTTTATTTCTTACATACATACATACATATATGTATGTATGTATATATATATATATATATATATATATATATATATATATATAAGAGAAAGAACATTCAGATTAACAATCCACAGTTTTAGCATTTTTAAAAAGTGCTTGATACAAAGTAGAGGATAATATTAATTTCCATGTTGCGATGGTAAAATATTTTTAAATAATATGTGTGTGTGTGTGTGTTTTTAAACAAAAAAGAAAAAAAATTGATTTTTGATTGACTTAATTAAATTTTAGTTTTAAAATCTCTTGCATTGTTTATGTAAATTTTCATATACACACATACATATATACGTATATATGTGTGTAAATGTATGTACATAATTCTATATTTGTAATATGTGTATGAAGATATACAGGCATGTACTTTTGCCTGTTGTGGTGTATTATAAGTTCCGATGTGGGTCAATGTACAATTGAAAGTGTGTGTGGTGTGTGTTGGGGGGGGGGTCATGTATACTACATCAGTCAACTCCTAGTTGCTAGCCACACACCAGAGCTACTTGTAATGCCAAACAAGCTCCAGTAGGTGATGTCATCTATTCAGCCTGTTTTGGCTTGTCTTATTTAACTTTTAAATAACCTGTATTGAATTGCCACCCCAACTGAAGCATTTTATATTCTTCTGTCCTGTGCTTTTATTTATTCAACTGCACTCGTCAAATAATAAATGACCCAGCCTCTTTTGTACCCATCACCCCCAACGTCGATGGCCACAGCATTGCCTTTGCAACTGGAAAATTATTTTCTGTTGCTTTGGTATGGTGAAGCACTTAATTATTTAAGCTAGTACTCACTGGAAAATACAGGCTTATGGCCAGTACAATCACTGAAGTTAAGCAATATCAAACCTGGCAACCACTTGGGAATACCAGTTACCGTAAGCGTGGGTGTGTGGTTGCTGGAATGGATAAAAGCACAGAACTGGAAACTGGAGAGGCATTTTCCAATTCTTAGTTGGGTTAATTATATTCGCTTACATGCAAATGCCCTTGGAAAGGTATCAATCCACCTCTTTTCCCTCCAGTTATGGGTTAATTAGTAAGACTTGTATCAGTAAATCATTATTACCTCCCAAAAATTCTTGCAATCTAAAAATATTTTCTGGCTTTAAATAACCTACAAAGGGTTGATAAACTATAGAAAATGAATGAATGAATCAATGAAATACTGATTAGCTACACAGGCATGTCTTTTAGATTTATTTGCATTCTCTGGAATATAAATGTATAGAAACTATCATGGCTACAAAGTGAGAGATCAGTTTATATGTTGATTGTAATATAGAATTGATCCCCACTTTATATCCGCATTATGATTTTTCTTTATCAACTTCTGATTAGGTATGAATCCACCTCTTCTCCCTCCATATATATATATATATATATATATATATATATATATATATATATATATATATATATAGGGGCACAGTGGAGTAATGGATAGTGGCTTGGATTGAGGAATCAGAGAGTTGAATTCTAATTCCAGTCAAATCTATTACATTCACTTACATGCTAATACCTTGGGAAAGGTATTAAACCTTTTCTCCCTCCAGCTATGGGTAAATAGCAGGACAGACTAAGTTCTATAGCCTTGGATGGCAACTGGTCTAGGAAAAAGACAACTGTGAATTCAAATCCTGTGGAGCATCATTTGTAGGCCTTGTGGGACGTAGTGCACCAGTTCTCTATATTTGTATTTGGGCCTTCAAAAAGTGTGGATGGTTCTGCACAAAGGCTTCACCACTATAATCAAATCATATGTGCTAGTGTCTTTGCTGTCGGTTCCCTGGAACTGAGCTGCTTGGCCCTCATGCAGTGAATACGATGGGAGAGTTCAATATATATATAATATATAAAATTTATTCAAAAATTATAACACAGACGTTATAAAATTACTACAAAAATAACCATTTTGTTTCAACATTTCTGGTGTCTTCTCAAGTGATGGTGTTGAATGTAGAATACAGTTTTACAGAGAAAACTCTTTGTTATAATTTTTGAATAATATTTACTTTACTCTGTATTGAGCACTCTTTTAAGACTAGTGTTTTTTGGTTATTGAAATTTTATTCCATATATGCCAATCCTATACTTATCTGAGTGTTGACTTCAATGTTCACTTTTATATTTATATTTACATATGCTCTATCCCTGATATTGAGTATTTTATCCCATAAATATAGCACACCTTAAAACTACATTTCTTCATTCATATATATATATATATATATATATATATATATATGCTAAAGAATATTGTTATTTAATGATTGTTTAATTGAAATCTTTTTGTTGAGCTGAACAAACAATGTGTGCCAATCTAAGGGAGATAATTTGAAAAAGCCTTGTGTCAAGGCCATGTGCAAGAATTTTTAAAGTCATTATACACTTTGTATTATTATTGGTTGCAAGAGTTTTATGGCCTTGATATTTGAGTTGCAATTTAAAATAAAAAGGGAACAGAAATAAATATTCCCGTTTACTATTACGCTCTGACATTATTCATTGCTCTTTTTTTTTCTCTTCCACCTCTCCTCCCCCTTTCAGTCATTGTCTTTTTTCTCTTTCATGTTCCCTCATTGATTTTTTTTTTCCCCCCTTGTGTCCACCTATTCATTTTCACTTTTTTTCTCTTTCGCATCCCTCCCATTCGATCATTTCTTTATTTATGTCTTCTCGTTCATTCATTTTCTCATTTTTTTCTCCTTCCCGTCGCCTCGTTCCTTTCTCCTTCCCGTCGCCTCGTTCCTTTCTCCTTCCCGTCGCCTCGTTCCTTTCTCCTTCCCTTCTCCTTCCCGTCGCCTCGTTCCTTTCTCCTTCCGTTATTCCCCACTGTTACTTTCTCCTGTCCCCCCGCCACTTTCTCCTCCCTGTTACTTTCTCCCCCTGTTATTCTCTCCCCCCCCCGTTATTTTCTTCCCCTGTTACTTTCTCCCCCTGTTATTCTCACCCCCCGTTATTTTCTTCCCTGTTACTTTCTCCCCCTGTTATTCTCACCCCCTGTTACTTTCTCCCCCATTACCACCCTTCCCCCGTTACTCCCCCACCTTACTTTCTCTTAACCCCTGTTCCTTTCTCCTTCACATCCCACTATTCATTCTTTTTTTCTTTTATGTCCTCTCATTCATTCATTTTATTTTCCTTCACGACTCCTTATTCATTCATTTTGTATCTTTTCTCCTTCACTTCTTACTCACTCTTTGTTCCCTTCTCCTCTTTACTCTCTCAACCATTTGCTAATTCTTTCCCCCTATTTCTGACTAGGCCCTACCCCACCACCACAAAGTGTTAATGGAATTTCTTCTTCAAATCCACACTTAATAAGTAATTAATCAGCCCAAATTATTTTGCCTTCACCCACTAAAGTTTTGTCACATGGTATTTTCTTCCTCTCCCACCAAACTTCTCCTTCTCTCCAATGAGAAGAGGAAGAGGAAGAGGAGGTGATGCCAATGACCTATTTACTTATACCTTTGGGGCCAACATGTCACTTGTTTACTCCTCTTTTTCATTTGAACTCTTTCTTTCTGTGGGGATTGTATCACAAAGAAGAAAGGAAAATCCAACAGGCTCCATCTTTGTGGCCTTGCATCTATAAATTCCTCCAAGACCTTGAGTCAATGGGAAAGCAAATTAACTCGAAGCTCATATGTTTCAAAACTAAGAAAATATATAAACTGGAAAACCTTAAGATGTGTTTGTGTTTATCATCAAGTTAGGTGAGGCCTTGAGATTCAATTGTGTGTGTGGGGAAGGATCTTTTCTATTATTTCATCTCAAATAATGTAAAGTTACTTATCGCAAATATTAATTCAGTGTAAGAAATTGTAAATTTTAAATCAAAGTTTGTTTTTTTTGTTTTTTTTAATTAAATTTTTGGCATTCTTTTGCAATTATAAATAAAAATTTGTTTAGCTTTCCTTGCAACAACTCGAACCCTCAGAATGAAAAATTACCAAAAATCAGGGAATTATTCACATTTCATAAGTACAGATAATATTCAAAGTACTTACAAATAAGTTTTTACAATTTAAAAAAAAGAAAAGAAAAATACTCATTCTGCTTTTGGCTTGTTTATTGGGGTGAGCATGTACACTGACCCCACACTTAGAACTAGTTCACTCAATTTGCCACATTTGGGGCGATTGCAAAGGAAAACCCAACTGGAGTGCAATGGAAAGGTTTCGCTCTGGGAAAATTTTGTGTGAATTTTAGTAAATATAAATTCTTTTTATTTTGGGTTGAATTAATATTTTGGGTGAATTAACAGAATTTTTTTTTTTTTTTTTTTTATCAAACTAGCCAAATATTTATCCTATGTATTGAGAAAAATTAAGGTATAATATAAGTTCTGTTACCTCAATAACATTTCTGTATAAACATTTTCAGCAAGACATCATTTTTCTTTCTAAGGTTCTTTCTGTCATTATGTTAAGTCCACTTGAATTTCTTGCCCTACGCATAGCTACAAAGATCTGACCGTGAGAGAAATATTTGAATCTTCTAATGTCTATGTTAATAATAATAAAAATCAGCAGACTTACATATTTTTTTTTTTTTTTTTTCCACATTTTTAAATAATTTGATAGTTTCAAGAATATCTAATTAGATTATTTTGACTTATTTGGATAATTCTGTAAAATTCTTTTTGCCTCCATTCGACTAATTTCTAGTCATGTGAAATAGAAAACAACTTTTTTTCACAAGAATTGACAACAAAAATGTTAAGTGCTATTTATTTATTAGATTGTTTACAAGAATAGTTTGGCAAAGTTTAACAAATGTACCCACAAAAAGAGGGTAATGGTGGTGTCTAGAGAAAAATCCACCCTTTGACACCATTCCCCCCCCCCCCCATTCAGATAACTATGGTTATTTATTTTTTTTCTCCTGACTTGCAACGGAATTTTAACATGGCAGATATAAACTTTATCTGCAAAAACATTACTTATACATGGCAATTTTTAAAATTTGAGTTAAAAATAAATATTTACACTATTTACATTGTTCAGAATACATGCGAGTTGGGAACCACTTGTGAATTCCAAATTCCCATGAAACTCCAATATTGGAGCC